ATCCCTGGAGGTGTTCAAGGCCAGGCTGGAGGTGGCCTTGGGCAACCTGGGCTGGTGGGAGGTGGCCCTGCCCAGGGCAGGGGGCGGCACTGGGTGATCTTCAAGGTCCCTTCCAACTTAAACCATTCTGTGATTCTGTGATTCTATTCCCAGAAAAGGCAGGCTATAAACTTATGTATAACCACAGTAACACTTTAAAAAAAAAGTATTATTATTTTAGTATTATTATTTTAGCTTTTCAGAACTGTTCCGTCACTGCAAACACACGCTTTCAGGTGGGGGTTATCATTTAAGTGTTTTCCTTACCAAGCTGACCCCGCACAATCAGGCGAAGGCAAAGCTTAAAATCAGGTTTTCTGGCTTTCAGCAAATCCTCACCGCCCAGGCTCTCCGGGAAGCGGTGGGAGGTTCTCCAGCTGGAAAGCACTTTTTCGGTTCTATAAGACCTTGTATTTGACTGCATCAAAATGTAGGTCATCAAAATCACCCCACGCCACCAAATCACAGTCTCTCTTAAGATGTATGAGTCTGTGTGTCCGTGCCAACTCCAGCAGGGATTCCCCCCGTACCCCCCGCGCCGCGCTGGCTGGTGGACGCTCATCTCCGCCGATGTCCGGAGTCTCCTGCGCGCACTGCCAACGAGGAACGGAACGGCCCTGCCCACGCGACCCGCTGCCGGCAACCCGGGAGACAGCCGCGCAAACGAACTTTAGGGGCCTGACTAATTTGTAATTTATTTTTTATGTATATATATGTGTATATATATATATATATATATGAAGCCTTAGTTTGTATTTTTTTCAGTTGCTGCACCAGGCTGACACACCAAACCGAATGTGAACAATCCCTGCAGTACCTCTGAAGATTTCTGTTCCTGGCAAGAGAGGCCAGAAAAAAAAACAGTAAGCATTTATGTTAAATTAATTTTAAGATGGATAGATGGAGTACAAGAAAATGAATACAACCTGGGCTTTGGGGATTCCAGGCTTCCCTCTGTATTACAGGATCACTGAGAATTCAACGGAACGGCACGATGGGACCAGCTTTATGTCAATGAAGTAAGACTCCAAAAAAATCATTATTAGATGTGACCTGCACCTTTCAAATCAAAGCCGAAACCAATGCCATCTACAGGAGGCGAGGGATTTTCACTGAAGTCTGAGCCACTAACGAAAAATATATACATATTGTCAGTATGGTCTGCGGACATCGCACAAGTCGCTCGGGGAACGCGTCTGTCACAGTAACGTGCTCTGGTGTGCTCCCACCCCCCTCCCGGCTCAGGAGAAGACAAAAACACCAAAGAAAAGTAAAGAAAATCGCATCAGAAAAAAATCCTAAAGGAGAGTGTGAGAAAGACTAACAAGATTTGGGACTTCCCTGTACGCAGGAGGGATTCGTGAGATGTGAGGCAGCCAAGTCCATGGAAACCAAACAGAAGAAAGAGGATCGCTCACATTCCAGTACCTGATATACGCAACAAAATTAAGATAATTTCACAGTCAAATGCCTGCGTGCATCATCCGGTGCACGACTACCACACAGCCTTCTTTACGGCAGGTCTTTGAAGTGTACAACAGAATTGGAAAGGAAAAAAAAAAAAAGAAGAAAAAAAAAAAAGCGCCATCTCTAGATAAGGAGAGAGTATTTCCATACCAGACGGCACAAGAAACGTCTGCAAAAGTTTTGCCTTCCCGGGCTCTTCACAAACCCACTGCGGACACTACCGACGCCGCGGCAGGGACCGGGAGGCACCCCCGGGCTCCGGGCGCG